TGATAAGACCAAAAACCAAACAAATAGAAAAGACCTAATACAAGACAAATGCATGTAAAATGAGACACACATTGCACACAAGCACTCTTAGGGTTTCACCCACTTGGTTGCCTAAACAAAATGGCCATGGTATGCATGCAAAGTATCTTGGCAAAACAACACAAAAATAAGATCATAGTCCCTCGATGACGCTATCAAAAGGTTGCCTAAACAAATGATCTTGGTCCCTCAAAACTTGCTAATATACTTGGTAATATTGCTATCATGGTCATACGATGACCCACGCCCGTCCCGTTAACATCCAAAGATAGGGTTGTTTACCAAATCAATGGTAAATCAACAATGTCAAAGGAATAAAAATGCACAAGAAAGGCTTTTGAGTAGGTAGAATGTTTCTAGTTACTTGATCAACTTCAAAATAATCCTTGCTATTTTCAAAAACCAAACACACACATTTCAAAACATTTCCAAACATCTTTCAAAACATTGAAACATTTTTTAAAAGATAAACATCTTTGTATACATTCTTACGAACAAGAATCATTACAAAGATTGCCTAAATGATGGCCTCTTTTCAAAATACTTTCAAAACCACACAAAGCACCATTTTAAACAATTTCAAAAGCAAAGCAAGTGATCTAAACAAGTAACTAAGAGCCCATGGAAAACCATGGATAAAAAGGGTGCTAACACCTTTCCTTTTCATAATCTATCCCCCGAACTCAAGAAAACATCTCAAAGGTCTTTCCTGTGCTTTTTTACCTTTCCTTTTGGATAAAAGAAAAGTCGATGGCGACTCTTGCTAACCGCAACATTTGCGAACACAAATGCAAAACCTCAAGTCAGTTCTCCCACCGCATCTCACATAACATTAAGAAGATCTTGAGATTTTTGTTGTAAATCTTGACACAAACGATCAGTAATTCCCATAAGCTCTCTCATCATGTGCAAAATTAATAAGAACTCAAATAATTTCATAAACTTGTAAGAAGAATTAACATCCCCACGTGTAGCATAATTTCTCCCATTTTTTCTAATATCCTTAAGAACCACACAAGTTGGATTATGAAAATTTATCATACTACACACAAAAGAAAAATGTGAGCTCCAACGTGTATCTCTGGCTCGTTTCAAAGTCGCAATCTGGTTTTGTCATTTACCACTATCAAGCTCACCAATCTCTAGCAAATTTGAAATCTCCTCTAATATGGCATCTTGAAATTCATCATGGCGCTTACTAGAGGAACATACAACACTGACAATAAGAGTAAAGTGTTAAAATAAATCATGAACAATAAAAACTTCTCTTGAAGCAGCAACCAAAGCAAGTTGTAATCTATGTGCAAAACAATGTATGTAATATGCATAAGGACAATCCTTGAGAAATAGTGACTGCAATCCATTCCACTCCCCTCTCATATTACTAGCACCATCATACCCCTGCCTACGAATATCTGAAACATTTAGACCATGTTGAGAAAGAACATCACAACTTTCATTTTTAAGAGTGATCGCCGTAGTGTCTTTAACATGCACAAGCTCAAAAAATCGTTCTTGAATAAACCCATTTTTATCCATAAACCCTAAGATAATAGATATTTGCTCCCTCAAAGATTCATCACGCGGTTCATCAACAATTATGCAAAATTTAGAATCCCCAATCTCTTCTCGAATATAACTTTTTGCTTTACTAGACATGATATGCAAAATTTCTTTTTGTATTGAATGAGAGATATACTTTGAATTATATGGAGCATTCTCTGGTATAACTTTTGCAAGTTTATCATTGTATGATGCTAAGAGTTTTACCATTTCAAAAAAGTTAACTCTATTTTTCGATCCAAGTGATTCGTCATGGCCTCTAAAAGAACAAACTTGAAATGCGAGCCAACGAATGAAATCAATAGAGCTCTTGAGACGAAGTATATTTTGGATGACTTGATCGGAAGACTGCATATTAAGAACATTTCTGATGTGAATTGATTGATTGAACAAGTCTTGAGAAAAAAAGCACACTTCTTTCCGGCATTGACCTTTCTCCATGCTTTAAATCCTTTTCTAGTAAAGACGCCAGCTCTGGGATGTTCACTTGGTTTTTTATAAAACAAGTAACAAAGTAAACAATAAGCAGCATCATTAGTTGGAGACTACTCTAGCCATGAAGGGAATATTTTAAACCAAAATGCTTGAAATCGTCTTGGACATTTATCTCCATTTAGGGGAAAGTTTTCAACTTGGCATTGATAGGGACCCCAATTAAGATAAGCTCTTCGAACTTCATCTCTTTGATTTATCAGACATTTCCGAATTTGAATACGTTTACCGGGATCACGTTCTAAACAATTGATATCAAATTCTTCGATTGTGACTTTTTGAATCTTGCAAGGTTGAACATATGGTTGAACTTGAACGGTTTGATCATCAGATAAAAAACTTACTTCTCGAATATTGATGATGAAGCTATATAATTTTCATCTTTATCCAAAACTTTCCTTTTAAAAAATACATCAATTTTCTTAAGTTTAACCATTATATAGTTCCTAAAAAAAGAAACGAATAAATTATTATTAGAAAAAATACGCAAAATGAATAACATTTACATTTACAATTTCTATATTACCTTGGTTCAAAACTTAATCCTAAATTTCTAATTAAAATAGTCAAATAATGTTCATTATTTTCTTCTTCTACTGTTTTGAATATAATTGCATTCATTCTACTATTGTGAAATGCCAAACATCAAACGATATTCAAAATAAATACAATCCTTATCCTAAATTCTAATTAACATTGTTAGAACTTTTTCAAATAATTAATAATAAATCTAAGTCCTAATTAAGAAAGTCAAAATCAACTTTACTTCATCTTATCGGAAAAAAAACTTTACTCAAATTAAAAGCAACAACTTTACTCGTTTTTCAAACATTCAAACTAACAAATTCAAGTATCAAACATTTTAATTTTTGATTTTTGATAACACTAATCTACTCTTTTTTTGTTTCGAAAATACAAATACAGTAGCTATTTAGTCCTTAAAAAATTACAAGAGATTTAAGTGTTTCACAATAGAGAATTAATCAATTTATAGATTTAAGTAGAATAAAGAAGAGAAAATTACAAGCTGCTATAATGATGCAGAGTGCCCGAAAAAGTGGAGACATAGGCCCATTAGTCGATGAGTATAGCACGTTGAAGACGACATATTTAATAGAATAAGTTATAAAAGTGAAACCACTTAGCCCATGTTGTAATAGAATAAGTTATAAAAGTGAAACCACTTAGCCCATGTTGTAAAAAGGTTGAACCAAAAACATCTCTTATCATTTTAATATGAATCTTTGTCCTTTTGCTCAAATTGTCTTTTTTTAATTTTTTATATTTATAATAGCTCAAATTGTCTTGTAATTGCTGACATTTGGTAGCTATTGATTATTGGCATATTGATTTTTTTTTTTTACCATCTATATATATATATATATATATATATATATATATATATATATATATATATATATATATATATATATATATATATATATATATATATATATATATATATATATATATATATATATATATATATATATATATATATATATATATATATATATATATATATATATATATATATATATATATATATATATATATATATATATATATATATATATATATATATATATATATATATATATATATATATATATATATATATATATATATATATATATATATATATATATATATATATATATATATATATATATATATATATATGTGGGCGCGCGCGCGCACCGATAAATTTATTTGATATAAATAGATTTTATTTTAGATATAAATATAAATTTAAAAGTAATTATTTAACTATAAAATAAATAATAATAATAATATAAATTTAATTTTGACATTTAAAAATAAAAATATTGTATTTTAAATAAAGATAAATATTAATTAAAATAAAATTGATATTTTACTGATAATGGCAAGTGAGAAAATTAAAAGATTTGATATTTGAAAATAGTAATTTTATGTTTCAAACAAAGATAATTATTAATTAAAATAAAATATGTATTTTATCGATAGTGGTCCGTGAAAAAATAGAAACTTTGACATTTGAGAATAAATATTTTGTGTCTTAAATAAAGATAATTGTTAATTCAAATAAAATAATTATTTTGTTGATAGTGACCTATGACAAAAATAAAAATTTTTACATTTGAAGATAAGAACTATGTGTCTCAAATAAAAATAATTATTAATTAAAATAAAATAGGTATTTTACCGATAGTGTCCCGTAAAAAAAAAAAATTTTGACATTTGAAATAATTTTTTTAATAATTATAAAATAATTAGGTTTTCAGTTGAATGAAATTTTATGTATTACTCTTCATTCTATTAAAAAATATTCAATTTATTAATGTTTAGAAAAAGAAAAAAAAAAGAGAAAATGGAAAGAGAGAAAAAAATGAAAATGAAAATGAAAAAATATAGAAAAAAAGAAATGTAAATGAAAAACGAACCACCACCACTATCTTGGCAAAAGAGTTTATTTTTATTGGTCATATGAGATATTTAATCAATTATTACTGAAATGAAATGATATATTAGTATTCTTACATAGATACTTGATATGTTTAGGAAAAGACTCAATTAGTCTTTCTTCTTTATCCACCACATTTTTATGGATAATTTTGTAGGGGTAATTCCGAGGAGATGAGGGGTGTTCTCACTTATAAAGTGCTCAATCTTCTCTTTTATAATTAATGTGGAACTTCTTCTTCACACTTAATTCTCAACAAATTTGTGTTTAACGTAACTATTTGTCAACGAAGTGCAAAATTCCATTAGTTTTTATTATAATAAACATATAAGGTAACCTGGTGTATCTATTTTTTCGGTACAAAGCTGCATATTTTCCTCTTTAACGATGAATTTCAAAATCATGCATTTTTCAATAAAACAATGCAGTATCACTCTGTCTTGCTAATACCTCCTATTGCATGTTTTCCCCCATTTCTCTTACATCTGCAAACACATCATATATCTCTTCCTATCTCTCTGGCCACCTTCATCTTCTTCTCCTTAAACCTACTTCAAACCCATTCTACCAACCTTCATCTCCTTCATCTCTCAAACCTATTACCAAACTTCTCATGGAGCACGATTTAGTGATTGATCCTCACAACGATGGAGCAAAAATGATTTCAGATTTAAGGTTTGGTTCGAGTAAATATATTTTTATTTTCTTTATGATTCTTTGTTTTTTAATGGATTTTGTGGGTCTCATGTGTTGATTTTTCCCGATCTGGAAATTAGAGAGGAATAAAGATTCACACCATATTTTTAGGCTTGATTGAGGCTGAGCAATGAGTTTTGAGCACCGTGTTCTGTTTGAATGTATGTCGTAGAAAAGCTGAGTAATTTGAAATTCTAAACATAGAAATGTAGTAAATAATAATAAATAGCTGCATTCATCATTTTTGTTTTATAAAAAATCAATTATAATTAAATTAAATGCTTTATAATGTATTCATTTTCGGTTTCTTTCTCTTCGATACAATTTTTATTTATCGTATCTTTTTAATGGAAATAACTAAAATAATAAGAAGAATCTTACCATATTTTACACTATCCATTTTTAATGCCACAAATTCTGGTTTTTGAAAGTTATAGAAATACAATGGAGTAACTGTGAAGTCAAGCTTGTCCAACACTATATTTTGATGAAAATAATTATCATAAGTATATATCAAAGGATGAACAAAAGCATCATGAGTAAAAAGCTATAGAATTAAGTCTTGTATCTCAAGCAATATTGTGAAAGATAAACTTGGCCCACTTTGGATAATTGATCTTCAAAATTAATTAGTAAGTTACAATCTAAGTCTTGATATATATTATGTGCTCAAAAATTACTTAATATTTTTATACATATGCATCACTCTTTTAAAAATTCATTGCCACTTGTTTCAATTAATTTTTATAAGTTTTTGATAATTTTTGTACAGTAGTAACCGATTACATCAATTCTGGTAACTGGTTACATGAACCTGACATGAACTCTGCTTTAAATTCTATGGCATTTTTTGAAGGTGGTAACCAGTTGCATAATTTCTTGTAACCGGTTAAATACTCGAACTTTGGAATTTTTTTATATCGCTTCAGGTTTAACCGGTTACAATCTTTTTGGTAACCGGTTACCACTGAAGCAGTGGCATATTTTCAATAAAAATCAGACTCAAATGTTTTCAATTTACACCATCAGACATTGCACTGTCCGATCAAATTGCACATTTTTGAAATGGTATAACACTGATATAAATTCAACATGTTTCAGATTTCAAATACACACCTCTTTCAAATCAATTCAAACATATTCTTCATCTCATTTTCAAATACAAGTGCATTGTATCTTGAACTTTCATTGAAACTTTCTGCATAAATTTTTATAACAGTCCAAAAAAGTTCCAACATCATTATAAACATTTGAGCACTTGTATGTCATATTGAATTGTATACTTAAAAGTGAAGATCAATATATATATATATATATATATATATATATATATATATATATATATATATATATATATATATATATATATATATATATATATATATATATATATATATATATATATATATATATATATACTTGAAACTTCTTAATATTTTTCATAATTGTTTTATATACTTTGTTGTCCAGGATTGTTGGAAACAAGATAGTGAAAAAGAAAGAATTGTTTTCTTTTTCTACTTGTTTGGTTTGTATACCTTGTTGTCCAAGATTGTTGGAAACATGAGAGTTGCTTTCATTGAAACTTTCTGCATAAATTTTTATAACAGTCCAAAAAAGTTCCAACATTATTATAAACATTTGAGCACTTGTATGTATTATTGAATTGTATACTTAAAAGTGAAGATCAATATATATATATATATATATATATATATATATATATATATATATATATATATATATATATATATATATATATATATATATATATATATATATATATATATATATATATATATATATATATATATATATATATATATATATATATATATATATATATATATATATATATTTCTTAATATTTTTCATAATTGTTTTATATATCTTGTTGTCAAGGATTGTTGGAAACAAGATAGTGAAAAAGAAAGAATTGTTTTCTTTTTCTATTTGTTTGGTTTATATACCTTGTTGTCTAAGATTGTTGGAAACATGAGAGTTGAATTGGAGATGATTGTACTCATTTCAACTTAGTTGATCATAAGGTGTTGTTGCCTTAGTAATTCGTTAGAAGCTTGTGTCTAGAAGTCTATTTTAGGCTTGTATAAAATTCTAACATTATTGAAATCTCTTACATGTTTAAGAGGACTAGATGTATTATCGAACTGTGAGTTGAACTAGTATAATCTCTCAGTGTTCTTTATTTTCTATACTTTATTGATTCCATCACATAACCATAAACCTGGAAAAAAATAACATTCATCTCTAAAACTAGAAAAATTTCAAAGTACATGATTCACCCCCTCTTAGGTGCACTCAATACTTACAATTAGCATAAGAGCAGGTTAAGGTAACCTGTTCCTAAAGATCCATAATGGTTTCCGCAAATGCAAATCTGGTTTTTAAAGATGGTGGTAGCAATAACAAGCCTCTATTATTTTGTGTTGAATATTTCGATTTTTAGAAAATACGCATCAAGGCGCATCTAGAATCTCAAGAAAAAGAAGTGTGGAAAACAATTGATAATGGTCCTTTTATTTCTACTAGTGTTGTTAATGGTGTTGGCACCCCCAAGCCTGAAAGTTCATGGGATGAAGACGATGAGAAAAAATTTCCCTAGGATAAGAAAGCAATAAATCTTCTTCAATGTGCACTTAGCATGGATGCGTTCTTTCGTATTTTAGCATACACAACGATAAAGAAAATATGAGATACATTGGTGGAAACTCATGAAGGAACTGCTGAAGTTAAAGGATCTAGATTGAACACTTTGAGCTAAGAGTACGAATTATTTAGAATTTAGCACGGAGAATTAATCCCCGAGTTGCAAAAAAGATTAATGCATTTGATAAATCACTTGAAAGTACTTGGTAAGACTCTTACTAGCGATAAACTTAATTTTAAAATGCTTAAATCTTTAACTAGGGAATGTCAATCAAAAGTGACGGTAATATCCGAGAAGAAAAATCTATCCAAAATGACTTCTGCAACATTGTTCGAAAAACTTCAAGAATATGAAACGGATCTTGGAAGACTTGAAAAGCATGAAATTCAAGTAAAAGATTCAAAAGAAATTGCCTTAAAAATGAGAGTAAAAAATTATGATAACAATCAAGAGGATGAGTCCAATAGTGATGAAGATGATGATCTTATCAAGAAGTTTGAAAAGTTTCTAAGAAAAGAAAGAAAAAAGAATATCATTAAAAGAGAAGCGCCAACAAGGAAGGTTATATGCTTTGAATATAGAGAAAAAGGATATGTTAAAAGTGAATGCCCTACACTTTAAAAAAAGAATAAATACTTAAAAATAAAGAATGTTAAAATGTCAAAGAAAGTATATGTAGAATGGGATGACAATGTCATAAGTTCATCTTCAGATGAAGAACATGCAAACAAGGCATTGATAGCAACACACGATTTCGATGATGAAGAAGAAGAGGTTCGTAATGAAATATCTTTTTATAATGATGATGTACACGACTCTATTGATGAATTACTCAATGAATGTAAAATTCTATATAAAATGGTGTCAACACAAAAGAAACAAATTTTATCTCTTGAAGAAAAAATTGACACCATTGAAAAATATTTTAAAATTTAAAAACAAAGTTTTGTTTAAAAAGAAAAACAAAATTTTACATGAAAAGAGTGTGATTCATTTTCTTTCCAAATTATCCAATTGAAAAGAGTTCTTGAAATTATGAAAAAGAACAAATTAGATTCGACAATATCCTTAGTCGAAAAAGATATTCCAATGATAAAAGTGGACTTGGTTATTCTAAATTTAACAAACCAAGTACTAGTAAAACTATATTTGTTAAGCCAAGTGACCAATCCACCAAAGAGAAAGTGAATAAAGCACAAAAAGTTCATCATAATCTTAAGAAGAGTTTTGTTAAGAAAATGTCTTATGTTCCTAGATATAGAAGTAATATTGTTCCTACATATTTTTATTGAGGTATAATTGGTCACACGCCTAATGCTTGCTATGTAAGGAACTTTAGTGTGACAAGTGGGCATTACGTGTGGGTCATAAAATGAACTAATTATGAAGGATCCAAGGTACATTGGGTACCAAACAAAACTTAATTTGTTTTGTAGGTTTGCTTGAAGACCACTTCAAATCCATAGTATCTTGATAGTGATTGTTCTAAGCATTTGACGGGAGATATAAACTAATTTTTATCTCTAGTTCTAAAAGCTAAGGGTTATGTCACATACAGGGACAACAATAAAGGAAAAATTCTTGGTATTGGCAAATTTGAAGCACCGCCTTTCACATTAATTGAATATGTACTTTATGTTGAAGGGATAAAGCATAATCTTCTAAGTATAAGCAACTTTATGGCAAAGGTTTAAAAATCAAGTTCACCAAAGATGAATGTTTGATTGAAGATGAAGTCACTCATGAGGTAAAACTCATAGGTGAAATAATTAATAATTTTTATGATTTCTTTAGATAATTTATTTTTTCCTACCATCTTTGCTAATGACAAAGGAGAGGAAGATATATACGTGTGCATGTTTGTCTATAACTTTTACAATAATAAAGATGTCAATTATCTATGAAGAAAGGGAGATATTTGATCAAGGGGGAGTTATCAAAGTTAGGGGGAGCACTCACATAAGAACATCAATCACTTCAACTTTCAATCATTTTCATCATAAAAAAGAGGGAGAATGTGAAGTCAAGCCTTTCAAGCACCATGTTTTGATGAAGACAACTATCATAAGTATATATCAAAGGATGGATAAAAGCATCATGAGAAAAAAGCTATGGAATCAAGTCTTGTATCTCAAGCAATATTGTCAAAGATGAACTTGGACCACTTTGGATAATTGATCTTCAAAATTAATTGGTACAAGTTACAATCCAAGTCTTGATATATATTATGTGCTAAAAATTACTTAATGTTTTCGTACACATGCATCACTCTTTTAAAAACTCATTGCCACTTGTTTCAATTAATTTTTATAAGTTTTTGGTCATTTTTATACAGTGTTAACCGGTTACATCAATTCTGGTAACCAGTTACATGAACCTGACATGAACTC